TACAGGTAGACGCTGGCAATTTCCGTTATGGGCACGGGTCCCGTCATGATTGTAGAAACTGTCACGAGGCGTTAGCAATTGACTCGGGCTCAATGTTCTCCAGTTCGAAGACCTCACGTTCCAAGTACTTCGGTACGTTGCGCTTCGTTATCGACTGATTGTGTCGTGCTCGAGCAGGATTCGACCGATATCCCATTTCTGTGTAGATGTTGGACGAACATGTTGGTGATGAGGTCTGCTAAAAATCGATGGCAATCAATAAAGTTATGAAAAATTCAATTATGAAGGCGGTGTGGGAATGATAGTCGTCGGGGTTATGACCTAAATACAACAGAGCATCTTCTTCTACATCTTTAACCATCAAGATTTGCAATGGCTCCTGGTTCAATAGACAGCTCTTTTCTGAATAGATTAGCGCTTTCTGGCCCTTAAAGTATGGGCTGGGGCTCTCCTATCGACAATCACTGCTAAGTACCCTAGAAGTTATTTGCTATTACAGGTATTACTCCTCATCTCAAAGCAGACTTTCCAAATCGCAATCAAATCAAATCGCAAACCTTAAGATTCACTATCAAGGAGTGCTCTTATACTACTTGTGGCTTATGGTGTCCTCACTCCCCTTATTAGGGATCCATTCAGCGATCCCAGCGCACTGAGAGGTGCTGCAGAAATGCCAAAACGCCTTATTTCCTCTCACGCATAACACGCGCTGAAGACGTCGTTAAATGTTTCGGTGAGCAGGAAATTAACGTAACAAAGGGACTTGTAGGTAAGTAAGACACGAGACCTTCTGAATCCGTCAAAAAAAGCAACAAGCTCGAGAAACATACTCTGTAGCTGACATTGATATTCGTTCGAAGTAGCCGTCCATTTAGTGCTTTCAAGGGTCGATAGGCCGGAGTCATATAAGCGGGATCCGCCTGCTTGCTCTCCGTTTTCTGCAGTTCATTCCATATTTGAAGCTGAAATTCACATGATAATTTCCCAAACACTTCAACATTGCCGTTGATATCATCGCAACCCGAAGGGCGGTGTCAGGAAGACCTGGGACCGGACCCGCATGCGGCGTTATTTCTCGCCAGTTTTTCTGACTGACCCGGCTACCAGTTGCAGACAGGGTATCGCCTCGTTGTGTCAAACCCATGGGGGGTCGTACTTTTGCTCTGGGGAAAAACACAGAAGCGAACCGGCTCACTCTACATTTCGTGGATACCGTCCGTTGCTGCATGATACTATGCTATATGTACACTTGAGCAATCAGCACGCCGTGGAATTTTCAACAGGAGGTCGTATTTGACCGCGGAGGGAGCGGCTTCTAAGCACAGGGCTTATTCAGAAGTGGAAAGAGCGCTAATACTTGATATGTGGTACAATCACTGGTTGATAAAAATGTATTCATGGTTCCTGCTGTGAAGAACACCTGCAGACAGGAACAAGTTCCAAGCTCGGAAGTGGGGAATGGGTGCTGACAAGTAGCACGGTAGCCGCCCACAAAGGCGTCATAGTTAGAGGCACTTCCCGCGATGAACACCGTTGGTAACAGAGTTCAAACAGGAGTGCATTGTGCTAGTTGCCTTAGTAGTGAAGAAGAAAGTATGAAAAGCCGCCCTCAATATGGCCCTCTTTCTTGCACTTGATCATGATCACCGGACGAGCGTACGATGGTCAAGAGCACAGCGGTATTGTTACGACGACACGGGCAATGTAGGCCGGCATGGGTCCTCCTTGGGTCGAAAACCAAAGGCTCCTGCGTTTCGCCTGCCATATTTTCAAGTTTTGAGTGTAGGGAAACCTCTGTATTGCGTAACGGATCGCAGGGTACATTTATGAGGCTCTAGCCTTAGAATATCTCGGAACATGCCTTTTAAAACAAACGAAATACAGTATACGATTGGACCATACTGCATTGTAGGAGCAAATCTGCTTTCATGGAGAAGCCTTACTTGGAAGTTACACCTTCCCAACACCTGTGCGTGGCAGTCTGCGCAGTGCATACGGAATGGCAATCAGCGCCGAATAAAGCATTTCCGAACAACTTCAACGAAAAGATGTGTTCCAGAAGCTTACCCAAGTCTTCAAACCAACTGGGAATGGTACTGCCCCAGAGTTGCAGATTTTTCGTGTCGTCCGGTTGTCGAAATAAAATATAATTGGAATTTTTGCGTGATGGGTAAGAAAAAAATAAGCTCCCCTCAGCACACGCAGCGAAATAGCTTGCTTCAGTACAACAGTGGAAAAGGCGCTCTGAACCTCACGCGCAAACTCTGAATCGAACAGCGAGCCATCTAAATTCAAGTATCTTATTCGATATAATCTGCTTTTTTTGCCTATTTTGTCTCTTATTCAAAGGTCATAGCGAAACCCGTTTCTGGAGTGGGTATTCAGCAGCACGGCGCGCCCCGCGGTAGATGCAGGGTATACAGTAGTGGGGGAAAAAACTTGGAAGAAGTCATAAATTCGCGTTTCCAGCAGGTCTAAAGTTCTTATTCAACACTGAAGCGGTGAACGGGCGCGTAGACAGCAGAAGGGTAACAAAGAACACCTTCCCAGCGCATTATGCTATGTCTGTTTGCCAGTGGACGTGATTGTAGCCTTCATCTTCCGTGGAATCTACTCCACAGGGCCTTTTAGAGGTATATTCAACTTCAATAACAGCTCACTCTTTTTGTTGGGCTACTTCTTACTAACTACTGCTTCGAATGGCTTTCGCAGATGCCTGATGGGGCTGAGCTGCAGGGCTTTACTCGGTTTCTTTATCACCGAAATTCTTGCTCTGGGTGCCGGATCCTGCCATTTACACTGATCTTTTTGTAGGCTTGGGGCTTTTCTCGCATAAATTACCTGCATTTAATATTTTAGTACCCAACTCGAAGGAAATCAAATAACAATTTGATCGAAAAATGTTGATTTTGGCTCGTTCCAAGTTTTTCTTTTCCGCCACTGTAAGCACCAGCAGCATTGACGCAACTGGGTCTTTTTTTATCGGAACTAGGTTGATTTAAACTGCCCTGTTTTCTGAATATAAGGCGCATTCACTTGTGAGATCGCAGAGAGGCACGCGACAACGTGCGCAAAACGTTTTTGAACACAACAAGTGCTGTTTGTGTCATTATTTTTGCGAATTCTGTTCATCTACTTGATTTTCGAACACTTTCAATTTTTATAGCCAACTGTCTCATCAAAACTGAATGGTTGCGCGAAACAAGTATTGATGATCTAATTCAACTAACGGCCCACAGAACCACTCCTCATTTCAGGAACTATTGGCAATTAAAAGAAAATTTAAATTTTCGCATGAATCACTCGCTGCGTCCGAAAAGAAGGCGTCTTTTATATTCGCATGTGGGTTATACCTAGACAACAGTGTAAAAGAAACAACCTGAGGGACTGCTCACAACACAACTGAAATACCCTTGTTAGGCTCCTTTGAAACGAAAAAAAAATTCCAAATAGAAGTAACCCTTTTTAAGCGCTAGTTATTCGCGTCGTCTTCGTATAAGGTGCTCCCACGGGCGAACTCGCAAAAAAGGGTATTACTATTACTTTGTACTTTTGTATTCGTGTGCAATTAGTATTTGGGGAGTCTATTTGTGTTATTCACAACGCTGAGATACTAATGAGGCTCCTGGACAGCACATTACTAAGGTAGCGTTTTTCTTCATATGTTACTTTGAGTAGATCCCTTTTCCGTACTGAAGCAGTAAAGCTTACATCTTCTCGTGTAATGTAGATGGGATTGTTCATAATGATCCACGTGACCGTTTCCTGACATCCAGGAATCGTCAACGAGCCCTCGTACGTGACGTAGTGATGAGTTCGTGGCAACAATCCGGCTGGATGAAGTTGGCGAAGAGTGGTTCGCATGCCTGAAGATGGATCTCATCTCATACGCATAAATGGGAGCCTTTGTAAGAGCAGCGCAATTCTGCTCATGCCACAATAATCCACTACCCACAGCTCGCGCGTCTGTCTGTTTGTGTTGGTGTTTTGGCCTAAAAACGCGGAATCACTTCCAAAATTGAGATTTGGTCTGAAAATCTTGGGTTTTTTTCATCACATTTTTCATCAAAAGAGGGGGCCGTATCAGAGAAGAGAACTAGGGGGGGGGTCGTGTTTGCCGAAAATTTTCTCAACAAAATCGGGAGAATTTGTGAATAAGGACTAGCTGGTTCAACGAGCAGAAAGTGTTAGGAATTGTGAAGACTGTTACTAGTATTGCCGCGCTGAAATCCTTTCCATTCAATAACTGATTCATTCAAGAAATACCTTACCTCGTGTAAGTGATACTCTGTGACGCCACCGTCAAACGCCGAAGTGCAACCTCAGTCGTTATTCCAATCTGGAAATGGTGTATATCTTTGTGGATGAACATGACTGAGGATTCCGAAACAACTCACATCAATAATTACAGCAATCGCAAGAAGCCCACGCGGTTGCGTGACTGCTTGGCTATAATTTGTATACAAATCTATGTTATATGCCAACAGCTGGACCTGAAGGAAAACGTGGTTGGTCGGGAGGCAGAACACTGGGAGGTTTCGAAAAAAACCGAGAAAAAAGTCACGTACTTCAGCCGGAAACCTCACGCGATCCACTGTATGTTCGGATCCTCGTTCACCGTCCGGTTGACCGAAATGCATGGAAATCTGTGAAAGAAGGCCGTCATGTATGTTCCGTTAAAGACAATGGAATCAACTATTCAGTTGTATACCTGATGCAGTCGATATCGATATGGCAAGGCTGGTCCACCAGTGATATTGATGGTGTTCTTGGAAAGAGTCTCATTTATGGTGATTATTGGCAACTGACCGATGTTTTCGAACGTGCCTTCCACCTAAAGAAAACTTCGGAAAGTGAACATGATACAATTCATGTGAGGGAACCATACATTTTCTGAAAGTTCGAGCAGTGTCAATAACCCTGACATCAAAGACACAGATATACTTGATTTCGTCGTAATCAGGCGGTGAGGTGTCAGGGAGTGGGCCCCGCTGCTTTCTCTGCCAAGAGTGACCAGTTGATGATTGATTTAGGAAGAAAAAAAAGCAGTAGTGGATAGCGTGAGGTGCCGTTTCAGGTCACTACTTCCCCTAAGGTCGAGGTGGCTAGGAATTTGAAGGAACGGTCCGTGACCTATGAAAACGCAAGAGGTTGTGTGGGAAAGTAGTGCATTCCGGAGTGGACAACCCTGTGCCAGTTTCGCGGCGAAGAGTTGTACGGGTAAGGAATTGAAGCGCAAAGTTGCTTCAGTGGTACACTCATTAGTAGAGACTCCGGCCAAGAGTCGCCCTACAGCAGAGTAATGCTCCCGGCAGTACATGGTCGAGTGGATGTTATATGTCATTGTAGTAGTCATAGGTCATGTACTGCTGCAATCAGCCAACGAGAAATCTTCCAGAACGCTGTTTTTCGGCACTTTAACCTTAACAGTTATTGCTGGCCTAGAGTAGCCTGACGAAGCGTTATTACACAATCGCTTTCGCGTATTTCTCTCCTCATAGACGGTTCACTTGCGAGTTTTCTTCTACATTTCTGCAACGTTACCTAGGCATTTTATCGCACACCGTGCCTTCAACGCGGGAGTGGACCGATCTCTTGAAAAGACATATAGCCCGAGCAACTAAACCGAGGGGGTTTGCGAGAACGGCTTACCGCAGGAACTTTCCGCGCCGGATGTTATTCTCATGGTTAGGACGCCATGCTACCCCTTGCAGATACGCTCCCAATGAACTCCGTGATATAAGCTGCTTGGTGCCGAACCTGTAGCACGCGTCCCAAGCGTTTTCACGCCATCCCAAGCGTTTTCACGCCAACAGGGTATCCAACTATTCTAGGGGCGCGTCTACTATACTGGGGCCGGTAATTTGATCTGAACATTAAAATTTGGGTGGGATTCACGAAGGGTAAACTCGAGAATTCTGAGGACTATCTTCTAATTTTCCGGGTGGTCATGACGCTCCCTTCGATTGGCCCTCTGCTCATAAGTTAGTTAACTTCGAGAAAAACGACTTATTTCTAGGTAATGGAGAGTAAAGGCAGAGAAATTTGCAAAGTATCGCTGAAACACCGAGGAACTTAGTGAGCCATTAGCAGTGGGCAACATAGTCGTCATCAGTTTATTTTTCTGTGTTTTTACTGCCTAAGAAACTCAAGAGTGACTTACATGTATGTCATCAATCGATATTCGTTCAAGATGCGGATCGAAGAGCAGTTGAGATGGATCGATGTTTACAGGGCTCTGCATTTGACCGGCAGTACACATTCGCCAGTCTCGATTCACCAGACCCCAGAAATCCGGGCCTACAACACACGGGTAGATGCACGCGGTCATCAACCACGGCAACATCTGAAGATGCCAGTTCATTTAATGCTATTTTTGAATTGATAAGTAAACGACGTCAGATCACACTTAAGATACGTCATGAGACCATTCCGCTGAGTTCTTCTGCGGTAGACCAGCGTTCAGTTTTCCTCAATCAAAAAGCTGTTTGTGAAGATTCTCAACTCGTTCCGTGCTCTGTAACTGTGAAGCCACAATGTGCAATATTTTGTCTGTCCTTTTGCATTTTGCTTCTACTGCTAATTTCTTATAAAATCCAGTTCGCCGCGGACGAGTGGGCGTGCCAGACTCGATGAGTTTTGACGCGACGCCAAGCCCGCTCTCCACCGGTTGTTTACAAGAATTTATCATATCGTTCATATCGCTCGTTTTCTACCAACTGTTGTCGCATACCCGCTTCAACAACTAGCAGAGAACTGGTTTAGCCATGGCACACTCATACTGCCTGACACGCCCCTTCGCTCGCAGCGAACCAGTGTATACTTCCCTAGCACTTAAGTCTGATAAGGTTTGCCCTTCGACATTCGTTTTGTTTACAAAAAGTTGTGATATGAAAACAACTGCCAGCCCACTGTGGTTGTGAGGGGTGTCGAGCCATTTCACTAAATACTGTGAGCCCCAACGAGGCTATGGAATGATATTAGTTCCATTCCAAATTGGCAGGGGACCAGTAAATAAGGATTCTTCGTGAGCATTATTGCACCTTCAGAACCGGATTATCACCATTATGTAAGGAAATCATCATTGACGTGAAGTGAGGGTGAAAGGGAGACACCACAGGGTGGCGCCATTTCACCCAAACTCCTCAGCGCTGCCACGAGTACGCTATGCGCCAACTGGAAAGAGAAGACAGAAGGGAAGATCTCTGCTTTACTGACGACATCGTCCTGATAACACCAAGCAACGAGCAACCAAAGCAAAACGGCTGATTTAGACTGGGCGTATGGGAAGGTCGGTTCGTTACTGAATCTCACGGAGATGATGTTCAT